CCTGCACTAAGAGGATCAGCTCATTCCCTTCTCTACCAGATTTAAGTTGCAAGGAAAATGCATTATTTTTTCATTAAAAATTTATTTTGGAATGGATAGCCTTCAGAGATGTAATTAGCCACGTTATTTCCCTCCATTAGCTGTCCCTAGTGCTCTCAGGAATGCCTTGTCCTTTATCCTCTCCATTTCTCTCTTTCCATTCTCCTTACAATTTGGGTTGCAGCATCCACCACCTCACCCCCACCCCGTCATTACCACGTGCAGATTCCAGAGGAATGTGCCAACTTCCCTTCCCAAGGGACTGTGGGAGCAAAGGCATTTAGGACAGTAGGGGATTCAAAGAATCATCACCCCCAGCTTGCTTTTATCTGGAATGGTTCCTGCGGGCCATTTTTACTATTGTAGGCAATAGGCTGACGGCTGGACTCCCCCAAACTCCCCAAAATACAACAAATAACCCCTAAACACTCCAAGTAGTACAACAGATACACAGTATGGATGGGTTGTTCTGGTTCTGGGGGCGACTCCAACCCTCCCAATGCTCAGAAGAGCACTATTGCCACCCGCTCCGCCTTCGCCCCTGTTCCTATCACACAGGTGACACATGACATGCAGGCATCTCCAGCATTGTCAGAAATACCCCGCTCTGTGGGGGTGAGGGCAGAAAGCCTGACACCCTAAGTCTAAACTTATCCTGGCTCCCCACAAAGAGGGGCATTGAGAAAAGTACAGCATAACATCTTCAGTGTGCGTGGTTTATAAGAACTCGATTGCCCCAGATGCTGAGGGTCCTAGGATGTATGCGTTGAAGGGTTGGTACTATTAACAGAGAATCAGCTGGATGACATTTCAGAGTTGCATCATGGGGCATTGGCATGAAGGGACTGGGCTCCTTACATTGGCCTTACTGCTTTTTCAGTAATTCCAGACTCTTGGGTTCCTGGGTACATGTAGAGGAACAGAAACTGATATGTTTGTGGGATCTCTGAATGTGAGCAGAGATGTTACTACAAGCCTCATAGAATCAGGTGGAATCTTAACCGAATTTTGACCACGGTCAGTTATATGAACAAGCCCTGGGCATAGAGAATAGCAATGATAAAACTGGGTGCAGTAAGAACTCATGGCTGGTGCCACAGTGCTTGCTAGCCACACTGGGCTCTTTACAGATACTGCTTCATCTATCCCTCAGTCCCAACAGGCATTCCCATCCCCCCTTCCTCCCAGGCGCTGCTGGGAGGATCCGGAGATTCACACAGGGTAAGAGGAGCTGGTGTCAAAGGAATGACTTCTGTCCCGCCTCCCGGGAGGAGTCTCATTGTGTGGAAGATGGCAAATGGCACAACAATGCCTGCTGCTAGGAGCAGCAGGCTCAGGGTGTCAACCCACTCCGCGGCTGGCAGGTGTCGCCAAGAAACACACAAGTCCCCCAGCACCAGATGGAATCACACTCTAGTCACACAGCGAAGAGACACGGCAAGAGTGACTTCAATAGCGAGGGGCTGTCCCGCTGTGACCAGGGGCCTCAGTCTGCCACCAACACAGAGGACCCGCACATAGCCTTCTGTGCTCCACCTGGAAGAGATCTGGTGCGGGGTGGGGGTGGGGGGCTGGCTAGGAGCCACATGACGCACAAGCTTAAGCAGAACAAAGGAGCACACTTTGAGCCCGGAACAGGGAAACGATGATTGCAGGAAAGTGAGGCGCTCCGCACAACCTTAATGCACCTTATCTCTAGGGAGGAGAGGGTTTTAGGCCCCTGGCCACTTTCCCGATGCTGAGCAGAGTCAAAGGCAACTTGTAACTGGTCATTCCCCATTGCCGGGACCAAGGTCAAGTTGTTGGTGACGCTGCCTCTGGATTTGGATACAAGTCTTTCTGGCACCACAACCCAAGAGCTTTCTTCCTGAGCTCAGTCTCTCCTCCCCAACCCCAGGGAGCAGATCTGTGTGTGGAGACACATATTCCCTGTGCTGGGGAGGCAGAGACAGGCAGACCCCTGGGCTTGCTGGCCAGTTAGTCAAACCTGTTTGGAGAATTCCAGGTCAATAACACACTATTTCAAAACAAAACAAACAAACAACAACAACAAAAACAAAAACAAAAAGCAAGAAGACAAAAGACTGAAATGTCTGAAGGTGAGAGTCCCCAATCCATGGAAGGCCCCATCCCTCCTCACCAATGTCATTAGCTAACAGCCAGATTCCCAGGGGAAAGGATGGCTTAAGTGAACTTCTGTAATGCTGACCCCAAGAACGGCTTTTCAGAACCTGTGACTCTCATACACTGAAGCATTACCAATGTACAGAGATTTAAAACAGAAAGCTGTATTCCAGAGAGAGAGAGAGAAATGCAGAAAAACAAAAATAATAACCTGGCACCCAGAATCTTTGGCAACCATATACAAAACTGGATGCAAGGACCATTTAGCCCCCGGCGATGGGAAGGGCTGGCTGGGAAGATTGCAAGCGAGACTGGGAAAATGGCTCACAGTTGTGTGTTGGCTGCACAATCGTGAGGGCAGGAATTTGGATCCCAGGACCCACGTGACAAACTGGGCTTCTGGCACACACCTGTGACCTCAGCTCTGAAGTGGTGGGGAGGACAGGAGAAGAGCTGGGCTTGCCGGCTAAGGGAGAAAGTGGGAGCCCCAGGTTTAAGGAGAGAGCCTCCTTTAAAGGAATAGATGGGTGGTGATAGAGGACATCCCAAGCCTTATTCTGTCTCTGTGCTTACATACACAATAGTGCACACACGCGCATGACCAAACACTCACATACACAAATAAATGCATTGTTTGGAAAGAATCTGCAAAGAAGGTGTGGGTCAGAGTCAGGGCCTTTGTGCCCTGTGCAGGTCCGTGGATTCTGTTTGAATACTAAGCCCCTGCACTGTTTCTCTGAGGTTTCAGTAATATGAGTCGACTGGGGTGGCTAATTTGAAGAATTATGACCCAGCATTTGCACCCAGGGAACCGAAGGTTAAAGGAAGTTCAGCAGATGATCTATGTCCACCACATTCGTTTTAGAAACCAAGTTGCGTTTAGCATTCAGAGCGTTCCAACTCTTCTCTGCCCAGTCCTCCCCTTCTCAAGGAAGCTTGCAGTTAATTCTACGCAGTGTGCATTGCTAATGTGGAGGAACAGAGGCATCCGTCATCCTTGCGCTCAGACGCCCACGCTGTGTCTCCTGTTCCCCGCATTTGACTTGGAAACCTCGCAGACCTTCAGATGAAGCTGTTCTGAGGTGCAAGGCGTTGATTCCCGCTCCACTCAGTTCCTACCGGTGCTGCCCACCTCTCCAGCTCTGTGAAGACTTGGGGCAGCAGGCTAAGGCGAAGATGCCCTCGGTATCTTCTTATTAAGTTTGGGGAGCAGAGGGAGGAGAGGAGAGGTGCTGGGCTTTCAGAGACTTGCTGTGGTGATGCCAGTCAGAACAGTAATAGACAAGGAGACAATGAATTGGGTCCACCCAAGACCTCCATGTGGACAATTCAGTTAATAAGGATATGAAAGCAGAGGTTGATTGTGTTTTGTTTTCATGGCTGGGAATCTAGGGTATCGGGAGCATCCAAATTTGAGGTCAGACTCCAAGTTCCACCTTGGATATCCTGACTGCAATTTGGTTTGTGTAATGACTAAGATGCTTTCCAGTCAGAATGGACGGAAATAGTAAGGCAAGCGATGCTGGAGGCAGAGAACATGGCTCTGGAGCCAGAGGCCCCGCCTTTTCAGATCCATTTAACAGCGGCATTTATCAGGCACCAGGAAGTTTGCAAGGGGGAGGGGGTGGGCACTGGAGGATGAACACAAACTCGTTCCACATTGACCATGGTCTAAAGGAAATCAGGGTAAGAGGGGGAGGGACATGTCCAAGTCAAGAAAGGGGTGTGAAATCCAGGAGAGTGTCTGTCTGTTTTCTTTGAGAAAGAGTCTCACCATGTAGCTTTGACTGTCCTAGAACTCATTGTGTAGACCAGGTTGACCTGGAACTCGCGGAGCTCCACTTGCCTCTGCTTCCCGGGTGCTCGGATCAAAGGTGTGGTGCTATTACACCAGGCAGCATCAGCTATCCTTAGCCCATTAAATCATTCATTCAGTAGGTGCTCAAACCAACGGTCTTAGCGCAGTCAAGACCGTGCTTTGGGTACACAGGCAAATGAAACAGAGGGCCGAAGAGGTGAACCGGGTGCACAAAGAACTGGTTGTACAAGCATGGCGCTCTGAGTCTGGATCTCCACCCAAGTCAAAAACCAGACACAGCTGTGTGCATCTGTAACCCCAGTGCTGGGGACAGAACAGGTGGACCCCTGGAGCTCACTGGCCAGCCAGTCTAGCCAGATTGAGTGAGAAACCTGTTTCAAAAAATACGGTACAGAGACTGAAGAAAATACCCATGCCAACCCCTGGTGTCCAGAAGTGCACACATACCACACGCATGTGTGCTTGCACGTACACCACCACCACCACCAAACACCGCACACACATGCCATATATATGCACTACATACACACACATAACACACCACACACACACACACACACACACACACACACACACACACACACACCAGGAACCACTATTTAAATACTAAACCTTAGTCCCCTAAATAGACTTTAAAAAAATCCACTCCTGGCCTCCAGAGCAGCCATACTGATTTACCATTCTGGAGAGTCCTCCCTAAACCTTGAGGCTCTGGCTGTAGTTATCATTCAGCTCTGCTGCTGGTAAATAGCAAGTGAAGAGCCAGTGACATGAAGAAGGAATTTGTGGCCCACCTCTTCCAGGAGGACTGTCCTGGCTAACCCAACCCACCAGATCCTGGTATTCTCTTAACCCAGCTTCCGGAGTGGAGCCTGTGTGCACTGCAATTCCTTTTTTGGGGGGGAGGGGGTGACCAGTAGGTTAACTCCTTTGGCCTCTGTGTGTATTCCAAAGTCATTGTGATGAAGGTTCCAAGGCCTTGTGACACGCCCAGCTGGATCTGTTCAAGCATGGGATGTCAAGAGAGGCCCTGTTCCTTTAGGGAATGCAATTCATCTCCTAAAAGGAAGATCCCCTTACCTGGCTCCCTAAGCATCACTAGGGTTCCCCAGGAGACCTGGACACAGGCAACTCCAAAGACAGCCAGAGGCCAACATGACCACCCTTTCTCCAGAAAACAGCCTCTCTGCGAAGCAGTCGGCCACTTTCATCCTGGTAGGTTCTGCGATTTGTTTTGAGATAGGGGTTCACTGTGCCCCCCCAAGCCTGGCCTTGGCTTGTGATCCTCAGCCTTCTGGGTGCTGGGCTTACATACCTGACTGACACATGTTCTTCAGTCCCAAGTACCTCCCTTCCCAACCTCTGGTTTGCTCTGGGACTCTTTGTGCCCGCTCAGTGGGAAGGCTGGACGTGAAAGGTGGAGCAGGACCAGCTGGAGTCTGGTCTCGTCATCAACACCAAATACAGAACAGGCACCTACATTCATTTTTACCTTGTTGGGAGATCTCAGAACCCAAGCCTGCCTTCCTCCCCAGAGGTGTCATTCTAAAACCAGTGAGTTTCTCAGAGTAGCGCAGATGCTGGTGAGTTTACTTTGGTGCATTTGCCAACAATTTTGGTAGATTGCCACCAGGTGGCAGTAGTGCTTCTGTTACTAGGTCCCAAGCACAGTTGATAAACAATTCCTTAGTCCACTTGAGACATGGAAATTTTCCATGCGCTATTTTTCAAAATCATAACTAATTATAATGACCTTAACCAATCTCAAGATCCATTTCTCATGTGATTAATAGAATGATACATAAAAATGCAAAATGAACACCTGAAGTTTAAAAGTTACGATTTTATTGCCTGTGACCACCAAGTCTGGAACATTCTATATTTTCTCTGTTCTTCAAACTTAGAGAAGGATAACAATAATAATAACAATAATGAATAAGCTGCCATGCAGCAGTTGGTGCGTACAAGTGGTGCTGTAAATGCTTTGTTTACAGTTGTTCCTTCTCCTCCCAGCCCTCTGAGATGGGATGTGATGGGGCTGTCATCATTTGATGAGTGAGGAAATGAATCCTAGAGACTTAGCATCCTGGCAATCAGGTATCCAGTTAGTGACAGAGCTCCTTTCCGGACCCAGGCTGTGATCTGACAAGTCCTTCCCATCAACTCATGGACTCCCGAGTGTGGAGCTAATGGCCAGCATCAGACAGAACCAGAGCCAAAGTTCCCTGCACCGCCTGGTGCCTTCTGTCTCGGTGTTGGCCTGGTAGAAGAAGCATGTGTAAGCTATTCAGGAAAGGGTCTTTTACCTGGATGTGTAAGCACAGGACTGTAAATTAAATTTGTGTACAAAACTCATTGAGGGTCTTCTGGTCCAGAAAGTTTGGGAACAGCCTGCAGAGATGCATTCCTAACAGTTTCTTGGGACTGTTGGGACACCCCTGGTCAGCTGTTGGGCTCTGTCCATCAACACGTCTCTCTCTCCTTCTCTTCAGCAGGAGAGGACGTTCATCTCACAGCCTCACTCTTAGCTGCCATCTTACTAATGTTCTGCAGGCCTTGCACTTACCCCTCATACACTAGTGTGCGGCGCACAAGTGTGCACGCCACACACGGACACACAACATCTCCTTATTTGAATATTCCTGGGGTAGCCTGCTTTACATTTTCAGGGAAGATAAAACAGAGCATACGAATTGTTTCATTTGCTTATCTTATAGTTCTCCATTATCAAGCAGCATGATCACAGAAAAGCATAAAATACATGAAAAAGGAAATAATATTTATACTCCCCAACTTACTCAAAGATAATCACCATAGCTTTTTGTTTTATTTTGGGACAGGGCCCTGTGCATCCCAACTTAGCCTCAAATTCACTGTATAGCTGAGAATAACCTTAAACTTCTGTCCTCCTGCCTCTACAAGTGTGTCATTGTGCCCAGTATGTGGTGCTGGGGATCAAACCCAGAACTTCCTGTGTGCTAGGCAAGCGTTCTATTAGATGAGCTACATCCCCATCTCCAACCACTATTGGTTTTGGGGTTTTTTTTCTTTAAATTTCATGTGTATGAGTGTTTTGTCTGCATGTATGTCTGTGCACCACACATATGCCTTGTGCCAGAAAAGGGCTCAGGAACAGGAGTTACAGCCAGTTGTGAACTGCCATCTGGGTGCTAGAAGTTGAACCTGGGTCCTCTGGAAAAGCAGCCAGTGTTTTTAACTGCTGAGCCATCTCCTCAGTCCCACTGTTTGTTTGTTGTTGTTGTTGTTGTTATTGTTGTTGTTGTTTTCTGTGTAGCCCTGGCTATCCTGGAACTCACTCTGTAGACCAGGCTTGACTCAGACTCAGAGATCTGCCTGCTTTTGCCTCCTGAGTGCTGGGATTGAATTAAAGGCATGCACCACCACCACCTGGTTCCCAATACTGTTTTTTAATGGAGGATGTTTTCTTTGTATTGTCTTCAGTATCTTTCCTATTATTTATTTGTTGTTGTTGTTGAGACAGGGTTTCACAGTGTAGCTTCATATACCTTGGAACTCACTATGTAGACCAGGCTGTCCTCAAACTCGGAGATTCACCTGCCTCTGCCTCCCAAGTGCTGGATGGAATTACAGGCAAGTGCCCCTATGCCCAGCCTTCAGTCTTTCTTCTAAGAATCTCCTGTACATTCAAGTCTATGCGGTACAGTTTTTGTAATACATAGCAGACACAAAATATGAACAGTAGCCCTGAGGACACTGAGGTGACGGGACTAGAGGGCCCAGCCTGGGGATGGGTAGTTCTCCTGGAAGACCACAGACCTCATGGAGAGGCAGTACTGGTGCATAGGCAGTGTCAAGTATCAAATCGTGCCTTTTCCTGTAACATTTGTATCTTTCCAGATCATTATTCATGCCTTGCAAACATCTATTTATACCCCTCCCAGTATTCCACGGGATATATAAAGCATAGTTTACTTAACTATTCCCGCATTGCAGTGCATTCAAAGTGCTTACGGTTTTCCCTTGGGTAAACTGTGTGCAGGGGACATTATTGTCCATCCTGTTTTCCACATATTTTCAGCAGTTAGAGTATTCTAGGTGTGAGCCAGTGGCTGTGTGAGTTTTGATCCCGCACAGGGTACAGAGCCTAGCATTTGAAAATCACCTTAGGTTAGAAGGAAGGCCCAAAGCCTCTAGCGGAGGGCTAATCTGGTTGTCCTCGCCAGGAGAAAAGAAACCCCCCCATTGACAAGTCGGAATGGGACAGCTTCTTCGATGAGAACGGTCACCTGGCCAAGTCTCGGGACTTCATTTGTGTCAACATCCTGGAAAGGGTATGATTCCCAAGCTCCCCCCAGCCTTACCCTGGCACTAGCGGGTGGCACCGATGGCAGGGACTGGCACGGCATTGAGCATCTTGAGAGTTTGTGACTTCCCGTGCCCAGGGTCTACACCCCTCCGTGAGGACAGAAGCCTGGAAGTTCCTCACAGGTTACTATTCATGGCAGAGTTCCTGGGATGAGCGGCTCATGGTGGACGCCAAGAGGAGGTAGAACTTTCCAGAGGCTCTTTCAGTGGAAAGTTGTTGGGGGCTTCAGGGTCGGGGGGCACCCTCTCAGCCTAGTGATTCAGGTTTCTTCTTCACATGGACTCCTTATTCTGAGAAGACGCCTGATGCTTCCCACACACGACCCACATACAGTAGGTGTAACCAGATTTAAGCTGGCACCTCCGCTCTGGTTTCATTGACCAAATAAGCAGTTGCAGGCAGGGTCTTGTCCCGAAACTCCCCTCATCGCCTTTCTCCTGCACAGCCTACCTGTGAAGGATCCTAAGAGTTTTCCTACCTGGGCCCAGTCCCCTTTCCTGCCAACTGCCACACCAAAACCCAATGGCCAAACTGTCTCCCGAGTCTAGGTTCCACCTCTCTGTCCTGCCCGCATTTCCTCCTGGTGCCTGGTATGAGTGGCTCATGTCCTCAGGTTAAACAGTTCCAGAGGTGTGTCTGCTGACATTTCAAATCGCCCATTTTCTCTTAGCTCTCCCATCCCAGCCCCCTCCATCTGACCATTCCTGAGGAACTATCTTAGAGTCAGTGCTTCTGTTGCTGGGATAAAACACCACGCCCAAAAGCACTTTGGGGAGGAGAGGGTTTGTTTTGTAGCCTGTAGTTCCACATTGCAGTCCATCACGGAGGGAAGTCAGGGCAGGAAACCAGAGGCTGGAGCTGATACAGAGGCCATGGAGGATGCTGCTTACTGGTTTGGACCTCAGGTCTTGCTCAATCTGATTTCTTTGTAGTATCCAGGACCAGCACAGAGGTGGCACCTCCCACATCAGCTCCACAGTGAGCTGGGCCCTCCCACATCAATCATTAATCAAGAAAACGCACAACAGGCTTGTCCAAAGGCTAATCTGGTGGGAGCATTTTCTCTTCCTTCCTTCCTTCCTTCCTTCCTTCCTTCCTTCCTTCCTTCCTTCCTTCCTTCCTTCCTTTCTTTCTTTCTTTCTTTCTTTCTTTCTTTCTTTCTTTCTTTCTTGTTTTCCTAGACAGAATTTCTCTTTGTAACAGCCCTAACTGTCCTGGAACTTGCTTTGTAGACCAGGCTGGCCTTAAACTCACAGAGATCTGCCTGCCTCTGCCTCCCCAGTGCTGGGATTAAAGGCATGCATCACCAATGCCAGTTAAGGGAGCGTTTTTTTTTAATGGAGACTCCTTCTTAAACGATTCTAACTTATGTCAAATTGATGTAAAACTGACCAGCATAGGGGTTCTCCATCAGCTCAGACACCCTACTCTAGTCAAGCTGGGAACCAAGAGTTCCCTCTGCTCTTGGCTCACTCTTTCTTCCTCCACCCACACTGGTCTCCCTATTAGATGTCTCCAAAACCCCACCTTTGGGCCAGTGGGACTGCTTGGGGGATAAAGGCACTTGCCACCAAGCCTGATAATCTGAGTTCAACCCTATGGTGGATGGAGAGAAGGGATTCACTCTCACATATTGTCCTCTGACCTCCACAAGTGTGTGGTACACACACACACACACACACACACATTGAATAAATAAATAAATGAAGAAACTCCCTCCTTGCTTCAAGGCCAGGACCAAACAGGGCACTCCTCCTGATTGGCAGATCTTTGTAGGTAAGTATACATGGGCTTTGAACTTGGAAAGGTCTTGGGTATGGGAGTGAATTCAATTCTAGCATTAACATCACACTCTGAGTAAACTTGCTCAGAAACTTCCCTGCTGAAGGTGCAGTCTCCTCCTTTGTCAAATGCAGGTCACATTACAGTTCACAGAGCGGTTACAAAGATTTAACTATAGAAACAGGCATGTCTCCATGCACATGGAAAGAACAGCTACGGTTCATGTTGGTAGGGATGCTCCCCAAAGCCAGAGACTGTGAACTTTCACGTCTGTGACCCTGGGATGTGGGTATGTTGAGCCTGGCGCACGCCTCTTCTCTCTCCGGTGTAGCACACACTGGGGTAGAGTCTGAGTCCTCCCCAAGTCCCCTTTCTTTGGCTCTTCAGGCCTCACTTGTCCACATGCATGCTCGAGGTGCACCGGGTCTGAATGACCCACGGTGAACTGCTTACTTCTTAGAGGTGTTTATCTTGGACTGCCTGACCAAGTCTTAGGACCTAGAGCCTCTGAGCTCAGCCCCAAAGCAGCTCCCAGCCAAGATGTGGAAAAGGCAACTCACACAGAGGCCAGCAGAGAATAGTGTGGGACAGAAGGGATATGAGTGTCGGACTAGGTGCCGAGCCAGGGACCAGGCCTTGTGTGTGTTACACATGATTGCCGAGGCAAGAAGTCACAAATGAGTCAAGTGCCGTGAACAGGGTGGCTGACAACATCAGACATTTTTCCCTCTGGCATTGCGGAGGCGGAAGACAAGGTTGTGTGCTGGCCCCTGGAAAGGCTCTAAGAGACAGAAGGTCCTTCTCCACACCTCCCACGGAAGCTTCCTTGGCTTGGGGCTACATCCATTCATGTTCTGTCTCAGTGGACATGGGCCCTCCTACCTCTGCGTGTGTCTCTTATATAGACAGTTGTCATTTGATTTAGGGTTCCCCAGGGGAACCCAGAATGACTGCATCTTGAGATCCTTCATCACACTGGAAAAGACCCCTTCTATAGATAAGCCCGCATTACAGGTTCTAGGTGTTACATCTAGGGCACAATGACTTTTAGAGGCCACCAGTCAGTTACCGCATCAGTTAATCAAATTGCAGTGGTCAGCATATGATTGTCCCCACGCTGCAGATGAAGAAATTGAGGCTTAGAGAGAGAGGGTGACATCCGTCTACAAACACTCAGTTGTTAAGTGGTGGCTCCAGGGTTTGGGTACTGTAGTTGGATCACAGAGCTCACCCCACATTAAGCTGTCTCCGCACTGTGTGCCAGCTGCATGCTGGAGAACACTTAAGGCTGGCTGCTCAGGCTGAGGAGGGGAGAAAGCACCGCAGGTGGGCACCAGGTGGGCAAGGTTACCCTACTCCTCTTAAGCTCAGCATCTGCTGCTGTCCTGAATCGTCCCTTCTTGGGAGGGCAAAGCCACCTTTCTCAGCCCTGCTGTGTTCTCTCAGGAGGAACTACAAAGCCCTGTGCCAGATGTATGAGAAAATCCAGCCCCTGCTGGAAAACTTGCATGGGAACTTCACAGAGACTAAGAACAACATCGGTGAGCAGAGGGAGTGGGGAGGGCAGAGAAGGGGGTGGATGCCATTCTGGTCTTTTCCTAGTCATTTTCAGGCACAGGTGACTCCTAGGGCTTGATGGCTGTCTTTGGCCTGGGAATTTCCTAGCCAATATGGGGTCAATCCACCCACCCATGTGCACTGGTATTCCTGGATGAATTTCCCTGCCACATGCTGTCCCTCTTGCTTTCTTGCTTTGTCCTTCTTCCTCCCTGCGCCCTATGACTTTAAACTAGGTTAGATCTGAACTAGAAAGTGAGGGGCATTCTTGCCAAAGGGTGTGGTCTGGTTAAAGATGTGGAGTCAAGACCAGCAGGGTATGGTGATGAGTTGAGCGTGGTGGGGATGACATGCCTTTTGTAGCCCCCTCTCACTAGGATTTTTTGGGGGGAGAGAACCTGTCCTCTAAGTATAGGAGATGAATTCGTTCACGCTTCCTGTGCTGGAGATGATCCAGGGTCCCTCCTGTTCCTTGCCCTAATCTAGCATATGACATCCAGAAACTCTATACCAAAGACCCCCTGGGCAATGTGCTTGTGGACAAGAAGAAACTGGAGAAGACCCTGCTGCTGAGTTATGTCTGCAACACAAAGGCTGGTGAGCTGAGGGTGAAACCCCAGCCCATGCTTGCCAGCTCCTTCCTGGACTCTGGGCTAGCGCCCATTGGCTTTTCCTCATGGGTGCCCTCCCCCACAGAGTACCAGCGAGGCTTCCATGAGATGGTGATGCTTTTCCAGCTGATGGTGGAGCATGACCACGAGACCTTCTGGCTCTTCCAGTTCTTCCTGCAGAAAACAGTGAGGACTAAGCCGAGCTCACATCTCTCCTACTCCCCACGGCCCATCAGGCCAAGGCACCAACAGCTGCAGCCACTTCCTCCAGCCCCCAAATGGGTGTAGGTCAGAGGGGCTGGGTGGTAGAGTCCTCTGAGTTCAGAAGGGCTCTTCAGAGTGCCAGTCTCACCAGGCACAGTGGTGGCACACTCTGCTGGCCTTCACTTGCCAGGCCTCCAAGGCTGTCTCTTTGTTCCTGCCTCCCCCTCTCTTGTTTCCGTCACATGACCTATAGTCCAGACACCCTGGAGGACCCAGCAGTACCCAGGGTGTACCCTACTCTGCACCCAGGAGGAGGGGTTTACCTTCTGGGAAGATTTTCTTGGTCACCTTCTAGAAGCTTCCCACACCCCTTACCTCTCTTTGCACCTCTGCAAAAATATGCTTGCTCAGCTTTCTTTCTTGACCCTGACCTAAGAACTGGGGTGACGGTCACATGTGGGACATCTTTGCCGCTCCACCCCACCCCCATATGCTAAGATGCACATGAATACATGGCTACCCAAACATCATGTACACATATGCAAACAGGCACAGTTGCACACACGAACCAGAGACGATAACACTCTGGTTCACACACACACACACACACACACACACACACACACACTCATGGATGTTGAACCAGACACATCACCTCGGTTCAGTGATGTCCTTGAGTTGAACTGAGAAGGACTGTTCTCTGCTCCCATCTTGTCCAGGAGCACAGCTGTGTCATTAACATCGGGGTAGGCAAGAACCTGGACATGCTCAACTGCCTGATCACTTTCCTGGACCCTGAATTTGCCGAACACCTCAGTGAGTGGTCCACAGTTACTACTACTTCCCACACCAGCAGGTAGGCTATGGGAGGGCCAAGGCCCATAGCAGACACGCTCAGACCCCGGGATGGGAGGACCTATGTGGAGGAGCCTAGGTCCATGACGTTGAACATCTGCTCCAAGCAGACTGCATGGCTTGTTGGGAAAGCACCATGTTTCCTGTGTTCTGCGTGCTCTGTTGCCTAGCCTTGCCTGTGTGCCAGCTTACATGCCTGTGTGCCAGCTTACGTGCCTGTGTGCCAGCTTACGTGCCTGTGTACCAGCTTATGTGCTGTTTCTCTCCTCTCAGAAGGGAAGGGCTCGGGAGCTGTGCAGTCCCTCTTCCCCTGGTTCTGCCTCTGCTTCCAGCGTGCCTTCAAATCCTTCGATGATGTCTGGAGGCTTTGGGAGGTGAGGTGTATGCAGCTGGGGACACTGGATGTGGACTGTACCCCTCCTTCATCGGGAGGAGACGCTACAAGTTTTCCTGCCGTTCTTTCTTCCTGGCTTTGAATGGTGCTCGTGGTTTAGGGTTTAATTAGGTCAGCAGCCCTCCTCGCTCCTTGCTGGAGAATGCTAGAACATCAGGGCATCAATTCTGATGCCAGACTCCACGGACTATCTACAGGGCAGTTTAGCACAGGAGCACCTGCTGACACTCCTGGGTCAGCCTGCAGCTCGTCCGCCCTGCCGGGCGGGGGGCCGGCCGCCCCACCACCCGGCTCTCCGCTCTTTCTCACTGCGCCTCCTTAGTCTTCCTTTCCCCCAGAATGCTGTCTTTTGGAATCTGATTTCCTCCAAGGCAGACTCCAGGGACACCCATAGCCTTCCAACCACAGTCCCTAGGGACACCAACAGATGATCCTCCTTAGGATGGAACCCACCACCTGTTTCTAAAAGGAAGAATCCAGCTTGACTGCCAGCCTGGCATCGACTCTCCCACCATCCAGCTTCCACCTGCCTCACCCTTTTGTCTTGGCCATCCGTTCCCCATGCCCAAATCTAACACAGCACCTCTCCCTCTGACTTTTGAGGAAACCATAGATTACTGAGCTCCCACCCGAATTCTAGTTTCTCCATATATACCCTGTTCTGAGTGTGCGGTTTGTGGTAACTTGCTGTCCTCAGTGCGTCCTGGCCTCAGGCCACAGGGCTGAGGCCTGCTGGCTGCCCACAGGTTCTGCTGACAGGGAAGCCCTGCAGGAATTTCCAGGTGCTGGTGGCCTACAGCATGCTGCAGATGGTGCGCGAGCAGGCCCTGCTGGAGAGCATGAGCGGCGACGCCATCCTCCTGGTGAGCGCCCTCGGCCGCATTCCTCTCCAGCCTCTAGAGCTGGACCCCTGGGCCCATTTTGTAGCAGGATAAAAGTCCACGGTGTGCTAGTTTATGGCCGCTTTGGCCTCCAGAGGGGAGCAAGGGATGGGAGCTGGAGTATGGAGCTCCATGCTGATGGTTCTTAGGAGACTCCTCCAAGGGCCCTGGGACAGTGATAGAAGCTATGTTAGTTTATCATCCAAGTAAGCATGTGAAGAAGCTGAAGCCTTAAATGGTTTAATCATTAGGATTATTAGACTCTGTTGCCTTGAAGTTAACCCTCAGCCACATAGCATAAGGGTCTAAGGTTCTGAGATGTGCTCAAAAGCCAGTTGAAGTACCAGAAAAAAAAAAAAAAACTTGGGTGGTACCCCAGTAATAAGCCAGGTCTTCCTTGGGAGCTTGAGACACGTAGCAGAATGCCAGGGCTTTCTAGACTCCCATGTGAAGGCTATGCTTATCACACCCCCAAAGCACACAATTTGCAGTCCCTATGACAGGTGGTGGCGACATCAGGTCTCCCAAGTAACTGCTATGAGCAGTGACTTTCTTACCTTTGTGCTGCCTGTACCCAAAGGCACAGGAGACATGTCTGCTTACACACATGCGCATGCACACACACCGCGCACATGTGTCTCCCTCCCAGGCCTGCAACAACCTCATCGACCTCGATGCTGACGAGCTGATCTCTGCTGCCTGCATGGTTTATGCCGAGCTCATGCAAAAGGAGGTAAGCTGCCCGGATTTGCCCTCCTCCTCTTTGCCATCTTCTTCCTCTTCCTTCTCCTCCTCTGCACCTCTTCCTTTTTTCCTCCTCCAGGAAGCCTTCTCTGGTTTCCCAGGCCCACCTGTAGCAGTCACACTTGGCTCCCTCCCACCAGCCCACAGTAGTTGCTCTGTATGGCCTTCTCCTTGTTGACATCCTCACGGGCAGTCTGGTTCCTGGGCTCACAGTCTTCCTCTCACATTCCCTGTGTCCTTCCCAAGGGGTTCAAGTACAAACCTGAACTTCCCCGGAAAATGTCATCGACTAGACAGCCTGAAGAGTGAGAGCCAAATCAGATAGTGTCTGTCAACATCACACCTTCATGACTCCTCTCATCCCCAGGTTCCCCAGTCATTAAAGGATTTCTTACTCTGAGAACGTCGACACTCACAACGAACACACGCCCTCAGTGGACCGGATGAAGGCAGTTCTTCAGCCTTGGGGTCAGGATCAAGTTCAGTGGGTACTGGGGTGAAGGCATAGACAATACAGAATCATGGAAACAGCTTTTGGAGTATTGGTTTGTAGTGTCACACCTTTGACTTTGGAGTACCTGATGGTTGAGACTATATAGTAAGTGAGCAGACCCCTGCGAGCCTGCAAGAAGGCACTCTGGGACAGGACAGTGTGGGACAATCCATCTTCCCGACTGGTGGTTCTTTAGAGGTCCATACCGGAAGAAAGCAAACAGGTAGGGTAGAAGCAGCTTTGAAGCCCCCAGACACCTGCCAAAGAGTGAGCATACAGAAATGACTACATCTGAACTCAAGTTCTAAGGGGAGATGAACTCTGACCTTTTTTTTCTTCTTCTTCTTTTGATTTTTTGAGTTTTCGAGACAGGGTTTCTCTGTAGCTTTGGAGCCTGTCCTGGAACTAGCTCTTATAGACCAGGCTGCTCTTGAACTCACAGAGCTTCACCTGCCTCTGCCTCCCGAGTGCTGGGATTAAAGGCGTGTGCCACCACCACCTGGCTGAACTCTGACCTTTGCATCTGTCTCCGTTATCCCCTTTCTCTCAACACAGCCCTCACATTCTCTCCCACACCCCAGGCTTCCCACCGACTCTAGAAGGACCAACCCAAATCTTTGGCCATCAGGTTGTTCCTCTCCTGGTCTCAAAGTCTCCCTCATAACTGTACCTTATTTCCTTCACCTCCAAGCATCTCCTTGATCAAAGCTGGGCTTCCCAGTCTTCCTCAAGCCTCCCGAGACTTCATTCTGCCTTTGCCCAGGAAACTACTCTCCAGGACTAAGAGGCATAAGTCTCCTAGGTCGCGCCCTAGCCCTCAAGCTCCATGTCCAGCCTACCAAGGCTCTGGTGAGCCATCTTGCCAGTAGGCATGAAGAAGGGGACGGACCTACAAAGGGGTTGGAGTTGGGTCTGGGTTGGCCCCAGAGTTGCACATTGGCACATGCACGCACACAACTATGTACACTCACACAATTCCAGGTGCTTCGTTTTCCAGGAAGTCTGCTGGGTCCGTTGATTTTGCTGCAGACTCTGGCCACTGGGGGTAAGGCACAATCATTGTTCTCACTCTTCAGCCAACAACCCCTCTTTCCTGCTTTCAAAATGTCAGTCTCCTTGACTGGCTCTCAGAAGGTATTCTGCCTCTCTGCATTTTCTGGTCTTCTCTCAAGTGGCAATCTCCTATCCGTAGCTGACTTGAGTCTCTTAGCTGTTGTTCTTGGTGGAGGTGGAGGTGCTGAAGAAGGGAGCCCTGTCCCGCCAACAGGGTTTTCTCTGCATACTTAAGGAGAGAACATTTACTAAGCAGCAAAGCTCATGGGTAAATTCCTGTGTTCTGAAGACAAGACAGATGTGGGATGCCCCTCTGTATGCTGTGTTTACCACTGATAGATAAAGAAACTGCTTTGGGCCTATAGCAAGGCAGAACAGAGGTAGGCAGTAAAAACTAAACTGAATGCTGGGAGGAAGAAGGCAGAGTCAGGGAGCCACCAGGAAGCTGCCATGTAGCCACCAGAGGGGAAAAATATGAGCTGCCAGCTGGAACCTTGCAGGTAGGCCATGAACCTCGTGGTAAAATATAAAATATTAGAAATGGGTTAATTTAAGAGATAAGAGTGAGCTAGAAATATACATAAGCTAATAGGCCAAGCAGTGTTATAATTAATACAGTTTCTATGTGTTTATTTCGGGAGTCTGTGCAACTGGGAAATGGAAAGGAGCAGGCGGCCTTCTACAACACAAGACTATGCAGATTCGCATTCTTGTCTGGAAAACAGTTCTCCAAGAAGGAAACTATGGTTTTTATTTTTGCAAATAACCACACAGAGTAAAACTGACTTAACCTTGACATTGGAACAGCAGACGTGTACTCTTTCATGGTCCTTTTGCTTTTGGTTGGATGATACACACAATATTACACAGTTCAGGGATTTAAAAAAAAATCAGCATTTCTAAAATGTGACCCCCAACCATGTGTAATTACTTTTATTTTTAATTATATGGATATGTATGTTAGTGTCTGTGTGTGGGTATATATATGTGAGTAGTAAGTACAAGTGCCCAAGGAGGCCAAAAGAGGACATCAGATCCTGCTCAACTACAGGCAGTGTGAGCCACCCAACTCCCAGTCTGTGTTGGGAACCAAACACAGATTTTCTGGAAGGGCATAATGTGCTCTTAACCACTGAGCTACCTCTTCAATCCTACAAGCCTGTTTTAAAAGTCTCTAGAGGCTGGCAAGATGACTCAGAGAGTAAAGCCCTTACCTTCAAGCCTGACAGCTTGAGCTGGAACCCAGGGACTTGCATGGCGGAAGGACATAACTGAATCTCAGGAGTTGCCTGTTGGAGGAAGGTTACTAGTTTGTTCCCGGCCACCCAGAACTGAAATAATCACACAGAAACCGTATTATTTAAAAACACTGCTTGGCCCAATAACTCTGACTTCTTATTGGTTAACTCTTACATCTTAGTTTAACCGATCTCCATTAATCTGTGTGTCACCACAAGGTCATGGCCTACCAGCAAAGTTTCAGCACATCTATCTCTGATGGCTCCATGGCATCTCTCTCTGACTCTGCCTTCTTCCTCCCAGCATTCTGTTTAGTTTTCCCCAACTCCCCTATAGCTCTGCTATGGGCTCAAAGCAGTTCCTTTATTCGTTAACCAATAAAAGCAACACATAGAAGAACCTCCCACACCAGTTGTCCTTGCCACATATATGCGGTGATATGGATACATTTACCACATATGTGCGCATACATGCACATGTACTCATGCACACACACACACTTATGCATGCACACACACATTTTTGAATTTATAAATAAGATATTTTAAAAAATCACTGAAGCCCCATGGCTACAGTCTTTTCCCTTTGGCTGAAGTAGGGGTGGTGATTCCAGAGCCTGCCTTGTTATGATCCCCCTTGATTTTCACATCCTTCCTGGACAGTCCCTTCAAGGATCCTCTGGCCTCCTGGAGAACATGTTTGAAATCTCTGTGAGATCTTAAAAATGAGGGGGTTTGAGCCTAAACACCGAACAATCCAGGTGAAGATCAAGCCTAAGACTGGGGGACGGGACATGGAGATCTTTGGAGCTCCACTCATCTGCCATACCTCCGGTAGGTCATGGCTGAGACCTTCATCTTTTGCTTATTCTGTATAATTCTGCTCACTGGATTGATTATATCACTCAGTGATAGAATCACTGATAATTTTCCTGGTAAAGTCTAGTCTAGGCACACTGTAGACAGAGGCTGCTTGTTCATTTCCCAGCCACCCAGACCCAAAATAATCACACAGAAAGTATTAATTGAAATACTGTTTGGCCAATAGCTTAAGCATATTTCTAGCTAGCCCTTACATCTAAATTAACTCATTTCTATTATTTTATATTTTACCATGAGGCTCATGGTTTACCGGTAAGGTTTTGGGGTTTCTTTGGCTGCTACATGCATTTTTTTGACTCTGCCTACTCTCTCTATATATCTCTGTTTGGATTTTCCACCTGGCTTTACTCTAAGTCATTGGCAGAAAGCAGCTTCTTTATTAACCAATGGCAATAAAACATATTCACAACAAATAGAGGGGAATCCCACATCAGCACAGAGCTACAGAAAATCCCTAGAGTCAGCATCATTTAAGGGCCTGTATTTGGTATAAAGTTTTTTTCAGTGCATACTGAGTAACTTGGTGTGTTCATACTTCAGTAACAAAATACCTCAACCTTAGCTGGATTGTTCCTAATAAACCAGGCTGCCTCCATCTTAGGCTTGAAAGCTATCTTATAGTAAAGACAAACTAGGCTCATTCCTGCTCATGATTAAATCCGTTTCTCAAGGACTGGGTTATGCCCCACCTGTGACCTTAACTACAAATAGTTCTGTACTGCCTGTTCTGGAAATGGCAACCATGTCCTTGTTTTAAAATGTTCTTATGACTATCATGCAACTCTGCTTTTGTTTCAAAAGGTTTTTTATAACCACCTGTTGTTATGACTACCTTGTTGTATTCTCTTTCTATAACCCAGCCTATTTGCCTGACAACCTCCCATTTGGAAACACCTTACCCTTGAGGTATAAAAGTCCTTATCTTCCCAATGTCCAATGCTGATCTCTTGAACCCTCTTGAACAGGGGGAGGCAGCCTGTGCACATGAATAAAAAAGCTTTCTTTAATTAATTGCTTGATTTAATTAATTTGGCCACGATGATGTAGGTCAATGGTTTTTCTCCTCACATCTGTGGGATTAACAGTTCCAACACAGGGTGCTGGCTGAATCTGTGTGTGGTGTGTTCTCTCCCACTGAGGAAGCTTTAGCATTCACACAGTGACAGCAAAGGGGATAAGGGCAGCTTCCTTCAAACTCTGCTTAGCTGTTTATTTTTGCTGTTTAAGATAGTGACTTTTGTAGCTCAGGTTACCCTGAAACTCCTAATGTAGCTTAGGATGACCTCGACCTTACTCCTCTAGTTCCTACCTCCTCAGTGCTAGGATGTCAGGTGTGTGCCACCAAGCCTGGTTTGTGCATTGCTGAGAATCAAATCCAGGGCCTCATGCATGCTAGGCAAGCACTCTACCAATGAGCTACATTCCCAACCCGTTTTCATTAGGGACTAATCCCACTCATAAGGGTGGAATCCTCATGACAATAACACCCCTGGAGACCTACCTCCTCATACCTCATAAGTTCCACTATATGAAACTGAGGGACTGTCAACAGAGATGGCAGTATTAATTAGGAGCTGCCTGCTGTCCAAGTTTCAACTGTTTGGATGAAAGAGAGACAAGTATTTTTCCCATGGCACTTAGAGTTGAGTGGGGACCAGGCATCTCTACATTGCCAATCTTGGGGCTCCTTCTGGTTTACCTCAGGGTCTGCTACCCTCCTTTAACAGGTCTGGTCCTCTTCAGGGCTGTCCCTCATCTCAAAGGCTGCCCTACGTTCAGTAATTAAGGACCCACAAGGGGACTTCGATGCTGAAAACCTAGTCTATTAGGTAAGGGGTGTGCAGAAGGCTTCATCCCTTTGCTTTTTGCTTTCTCTAAGCCAGTTATTTCCTCAGTAAATTTGGGGGGAGGCCCCTAGTAAGTCCCATTATATCTAGCTCAGACTCTCTGGACATTCATTCTTCAGGATGGGAGAGGAGGAGGTGGGTGGATGTTGACAGCATGTATGGGGCTCTGGGGTTCCTAAGAAGTCAGTCTGGTGGAGTGACCAGAAGTCATGAGGAGGCTGGGAGTGAACACATAGAATCTGAAGCAGCAAAGCATGGGGCCCAGGAAGAGGTGGGTATGCGTGGCTAGGTGGAGAGGTGGGGGGAGTAGGGTCCAGAGCTTGTCAGGAGAGGATAGCAGGAACTTCCGTGTGACACACTGGCAGGCCCTGGTACTTCCCTACCCTCCACCTATATAGCACTCCCCAGGATCATTCTAGAAATAAGCATTTCAAATTTTTTCTGAACTACCACATAAAAGAATCTCTTGGAGGCGGGGAATAAATAAGTATCCGAGTCTTAAAGACCTGACCCTCACCTGCAGTGATATGCAAATGTGCCCGAACACCCACAGTGCGGTATTCAAAGGCTGGAAGCAAATAGATGCAAATGTATGCAACAATTATGCAAACAAGGGCAGCCCCAGATTAACGGCCCCCATCCTTCAACCAAGCCGCAGCTGTCTCTTTAGGGATAAGCGTGGCTGATAGGGCTGCATGAACTCCTGTTAGAAGCATCCTGAGGAAGGGTCAGCTCTCAGATCAAGAGGGGAGATTGTTTAGACACCTGGCTTGCTGATCTTCTGCTTAGAAAAATCTGGGTGTGTTTATCATCCTGGCAGAATGTTTTCTGATGGGTTCTGGTCTGAGTCTCTGTTTAAATGCTAAACATGGTTGTGTGACTCTATTCCTAGAGAGATATGAACAAACCTACTCACCCAAGAATGAGAAACTGATGACCACAAAAATCCAATTGGGGTTTCTAGAAAGGCGTGAACAAATATCTACTCACCCCAGATAAGGAACTGATGATAGACCAAAGTAAGGATACCACCAAAATTTCTTTGGTGGATCAATAAGTTTACTGAAGGTTACTTACCAAAGTATGGATGAGGGGTTACTCACAGGAGCAGAAATGACTCAAAGACAGCTGCATTACCAAAGTCTACCCCATCCTGGGTGAAGAACTCATGGAAACCGGAAGCCTATAGCATGCTGCTGTAACATGAGAGCCGGCTTGTTGGGGTATCTATCCCGCCTGGCACCCCAACAAGTCGGCAAACCCCAAAGAAAACCAATCATACAGAGATCTCTATAAGTTATAAAGCTGATTGGCCCATTAGGTCAGGCTTCTTGTTAACTCTTATAACATATATTACCCCATTATCCTTATCTATGTTAGCCACATGGGCTCAGTACCTTTCTCAGTGTGACAGCTTACATGTTGCCTCTTCAGTGGTCTGCGCAGGAGTGGCGAGAAAGCTTCCTGTGTCCCAGAAAACTCCCAGTCTCTTTGCTCCACCCCTACTTCCTGTCTGGCTTTCCCGCTTATACTGCCTGCCTGGCCAATCAGTGTTTTATTAAAATATGATTGACAGAATACAGACAATTCTCCCACACCATTTCCCTCTTTTTTTTTTTTAAACAAAAGAAAATACCCATAGTCCATTTGTTGGGAATGTGGGTGTAGTATTTCAGGCTACTTCCTGCTGGTTGGGGGCACTGATGATCTTATGGGGACCTAAAGAAAATTTAGAGTTATAATCAAGTCCTGACTGGAGTATCCTGTGAGTCTTGATCATCTCAGGCAGCAGTCTTGAATCTGTTCTGGATGTAGAATTCAGACATCCAGGCCATCTGTTCCTACCGGAAATTTCTCAGGAGGTCTCCCTTGATCAAAGATGATTTTTCTTAACTCTGAATAAATCCAGAGCCTCTCATTTTCTGTGGAAACAAAAGCAAAATCTCTTCTCCAAAGTAACATACCTTTTGACTTCAATTTTGAAGCAAAGGTATTTTCAAAATACCTATCGTGGGTTAGTTCAGCAGCATTTATAAACAAAAGTCTTTTAGCAGCTGTTGTTCCTTCCTCAGCATTCAAACAATTCAAAGAGAGCATAATAGCATACAGTATCAAGATTCTCTGTGTATTTTCCATCTTTATGCAGCTTTATTTTTAACCTCTATTTCTTTTATTTTTACTTTTACTTTTTGACACAGGTTCTCTGTATATCTTTGTCCTGGAATAACACTGTAGACCAGGCTGTCCTTGAACTCACAGAGATCCTTCTGTCTCTGCCTCCCTAGTACTGGGCTCAAAGGTGTTTGCTACCGCACCTTGAACTCACAGAGATCCATGCCTCTCTGCTTCCCCAGTGCTAGGATTAAAGGTGTGTGCTACCACACCTTGAACTCAGAGATCTGTCTGTCTCTGCTGGTGTTTGGCTATTTTATAAGAAAGATACAGTCCTTACAGACTGAATCTACAATGCTGAGGGCAGAGATTAAAACCTTAAGAACAATTCAGACTGATACCAACCTCCTCAAAAAAGAGTTTGGAGATTTCAAGGAGGAGACTAGATCAGAGTTTGGAGTTTTCAAGCAGGAGACTAGATCAGAGTTTGGAGTTCTCAAGGAGGAGACTAGATCTTTGTTTGATATGACTCGGTCGACTGACCAAAATATCAAGAAGGTACAGTCTGATATTGCTTCTTTAGAAGGGAGCTTCACTGCTCTGGAGGAGGGGACAACCAAAATGACTCATAACCTCCAGTCCATGACTGTAAGTGCTGAAACATTAGCTGAGAGGATTATAACCATTGAATGTGAAAATCGGACTTTATCAAAAGGGTATGATAGATTAATTGACAGGATTTCCATACAAGAAGGCACAGTACATGCCATGAGGATTATGTCCAAGGAGGAGATCGTATCTCTAACAGACAAGCTCCATGCCTTGGAATTATCAATGAAGGCGATTGTGTCCAAGGAGGAAATAGTGTCTCTGACGGACAAGCTCCATGCCTTAGAATCGTTAATTAAGGCTTTGGAGCATAATACTGGACAGGAGATTCAGGACTTACAGAAGGCAATGGTGAGCAGATTTAATAAGATTGAGGAAATCATAGACTCTGATGAACAGGAGCAAAAGGTAGAAAGGCAACCTTCACCTCAAAAAACTCTCAGTCTACATAGAGTTATACCTGCCTTTCCAGTAATAACATCAGAAAAGATAACCGGCTCCAAAAACCCTAAGGTCATTAAAGAACATACATGGGAGCCTATACGTATGAATGATCTGAAAGAATTTAAACAAGCAATTGTGAATTATGGACTACATTCATCCTTTGTTAGGGAGATGTTAAAATCCTGGGCTCTGAGCAACAGGGCCACCCCTCAAGACTGGAACCAGCTCACATCATGCTGCACAATTGACAGGCAGCTCAACTGATTGGAGAGTGTTTCCTCCAGTTAGATTAATTAGTTGGTCTGAACCTCTTCTAGGTAGCCCAGTGGTCTCTGCCTCTTCTAAGCAGCTGAGATTGTTGGAGAGTGTCTTTCAGCAGTCTTTACTGTTTATATAAGCCGGGGAAGTGAAGAGGGAGTCTAGTACTTTCAGTCTGTTTCAGGGACTTCCTGAAGCTTCTGAGTTGTTTGCTTCAAGCTTCCCTGCCGAATAGAATATTTCATGGGCATTAGTACAATGAGCTTCCCTCCAAGAAGGAATTTTTATCTGGGGGGAACCACTACACAATGGGCGCTGAACTTTGGAAGAGTGGTTCTGATGAAAGGAACGGTGAAGGTAATAGAGGTGATGGAGAGACAATGGTGGAAATAACAGTTGGAAATGCAGATGGTTGCTGACCACAGTCATGCCATTTTGTAAAACTCTTCCATTTTGGTTAAACAATGACAATTCCTGAAACCAAAGTAATTTATTTTCTAGAACTAAAGAAACTTGCTGATATAGATTCTTTCTGTCGCCATCCTTCTGACTGTCACCATTACCACACACCCTAACAGCCAGTCACAAGAGATGCTTATTGATTACCTGACCATCTTTTGTTGTTGTTTTCTCCTCCTCCTCCTCCTCCTTCTTCTTCTTCTTCTTCTTCTTCTTCTTCTTCTTCTTCTTCTTCT